ATCATGTCGCCAACGATCACCACCGCGGCGCCGAGAATCTGACAGCTGTACGCACACGCAAGTCCCACAGGACCAGCGCCGGCGACATACACCGTGCTCCCCGTCGTCACGCCCGCCGTGTAAGCGCCGTGGTAGCCGGTCGGCAGGATGTCCGAGAGCAGCGTCAGGTCGCGAATCTTCGCCAGCGCCGCGTCACGATCCGGGAACTTGAGAAGGTTCCAGTCGGCGTACGGCACCATGACGTAGCGAGCTTGCCCACCGATCCAGCCGCCCATATCGACGTAGCCGTAAGCGGCGCCGGGGCGGTCGGGGTTCACGTTGAGACAGACGCCCGTGTCGCGTTCCTTGCAGCAACGGCAGCGGCCGCATGCAATGTTGAACGGGACGCTACAGATGTCGCCCTTCGAGATGAACTCGACGTCGCGCCCAACTTCGATCACTTCGCCGGTGATCTCGTGGCCAAGGATAATGCCGGCCGGCGCCGTCGTGCGGCCGCGGACCATGTGCTGATCGCTGCCGCAAATGTTGGTGGAGACGATCTTGAGGATGACGCCGTGATGGCACGGGCGCGTCTTCCCCTTGTAATCGAGCTCGAGCTTCGGGTCGTCAATCGACTGGATCTCAACAACACCCGGCTTGACGTAAGCAACGCCCTTGTTGTCCGACATGGCGGAGGTCCTCCGTGGATGAGTGTGGGAAGCGGACGCGTGTGAGTGTAGCAGAAAACTAGAACTGAGGAGTTGACCAAGAGCCGACGACGCAAGTCGTCGGAGTGACGCAACTCCCACGACTTGCGTCGTGGGCTCCCAGTCTAAACGAGTTGAAGCCGCTCTTTCTCGCAATTACTGTGCGAGCCATGTGGTATTGGCTCCTCACTAGCACGACTTACGGCACGTGGCTCCCCGGCGACGCGCGCGGGAGTGTCACGTCAGTGCGAGACTATCGCCCTGGTGACGGAAGTCCAGCGACTCGCATTGAGCACGCGCGATACGGAGAAGCGTGGGAGCCGCAAGCAAAGGGTTTGCGGCGAAGTGCGGAGAGCACTCTGAAAGGCCCGCCGGTGCTACTCATCCCCGAACAAGCTCAGTGCCTTTTATCAGAGTTCCAGCGTACTGCGTCGCACCACGGCTGGCGTCTTTCCGCGGTTGCGCTGATGGCTAACCACGTCCACCTCGTAGTTGGCTTGCCGCAGGAAACGTCGTCGGTTAAGGCACTACAGGATTTCAAGGCGTATGGCAGCCGAGTTCTGAACAAGGACTTTGGCAAACCGAAGTCTAGCACTTGGTGGCCCAAGAGCGGATCGCGGAGGTTACTCCCCGACGAAGAGGCCTTAGTGGCTGCAATCAACTATGTTCTCCATCGTCAAGCAAATCCCTTACTCACCTGGAGCAACAGCCGTCACACCGATTGACCGGGAGCCGACGACGCAAGTCGTCGGAGGAACCCTGGTACTCGCTTCACTCCGACCACTAATGTGGCCGGCTCGCCGTCAAATCTAAGGGACGCGAATACTGACATCAGTAGTTGTCTGTGAATATCGCGTAAAGCCAGCCAAGAATCGCACCGCCGATGGCGCCTGCAGGAGTTGTGAGCAAAGTGCCCATCGCGTAAACGGTTCCTACACCGCCGTCAAACTGATAGCCAGTCGCCGCCTGCTTCATTGACCAGACACCAACCGGCCCAACTAGGCCTAACAGGCCGCCAATTAAGAATCCAAAGATTACTGCTCGCATAATTCACTCCCACTCAATCGTCGCCGGTGGCTTACTACTAATATCGTAAACCACGCGATTGACGCCCTTCACCTCGTTGATCACCCGTGTGCTGATCCGGCTCAGCAGGTCGTGCGGGAGGTGGCTCCAGTCGGCGGTCATGAAGTCGTCGGTGTTCACGCAGCGCACGGCGAGGGCGTTCTCGTAGGTGCGGCCGTCGCCCATCACGCCGACGCTCTGCACCGGCAGCAGCACCGCGAATGCCTGCGACGTCTGTCGGTAGAGGCCGGCGGCCTTGATCTCGCCGACGACGATCGCGTCGGCCTCGCGCAGCGCGTGCAGCTTCTCGGCCGTCACTTCGCCGAGGCAACGCACCGCCAGGCCCGGCCCGGGGAACGGGTGGCGCCAGATGATCTCTTCCGGCAGGCCGAGCTGCAGGCCCAAGCGCCGCACCTCGTCCTTGAACAAGTCTCGCAAGGGCTCGATCAACTCGAAGCCCAGCTCCTTCGGCAGGCCGCCGACGTTGTGGTGGAGCTTGATCGACGCCGCAGGGCCATCGGGGCTGCCGCCCGACTCGATCACGTCCGGGTAGAGCGTCCCCTGAGCAAGGAACCGGGCGTCTTCGACTTTGGCGGCCTCTTCCTTGAAGCATGCGATGAACTCGCCGCCAATGATCTTGCGCTTGGTCTGCGGCTCGGTAACGCCGGCGAGCTTGGCGAGGAACCGTTCTTCCGCTTTGACGACGTGAAGGTCGGTCTTGAAGTGCTCGGTGAACTCACGGACGACCGCGATCTCTTCGTCCTTACGCAAGAGGCCATTGTCCACCAGGATGCACGTGAGCTGCGGACCGATCGCCTTGGCGAGTAAGGCCGCCACAACCGCCGAGTCGACGCCGCCCGAGAGGCCGCAGATCACCCGGCTCGTGCCGACGCGCTGGCGGATTGCGTCGACCGCTTCGTCGGCAAAGTCACCGAGGCGCCACTGCCCCGACGTCTTGCACACCTCGCGCAAGAAGTTGCCGAGGATCCTCTTCCCTTCGACGGTGTGCGTCACCTCGGGGTGAAACTGCAAACCGTAGATGGGCAACCGGTTGTGACGCACCGCGGCGAAGGGGCACGTCGCCGTTTTCGCCAGCGCCGTGAAGTCGCCGGCGATCTCGGTGACTTGG